GTGATGAGTCCGATATTGCTGCAGACTCCGTTTTCTCCCAGTTGAAAATTGATGATGCCAGATAGAATGAGCCTTTCAAGCCACAATCATCTATTCACAAAATGTCTTGAATAGCCGCTTTTAAGATAGCTTGCTTAGGTTTTTCAACCTTGTTTTCATATATTTTTTCCCGTATTTTTTGTGGTCAGTCTATTCTCGTTGAAATAAAATTATGAAAGCAATTGTACAATCAATGATGATTAGTCAATTCCTATGCTTGCAATAGATTGTTGATATTAGTTTCATACATACAGCTCTTCTTTGGAATGCTTACTATACACTGCAGTCAATCATGCTATATGAAATGCATACTTTAGTTTTCTGTACCCATTTTCAGGTATCAGTGGCATGCAAAATTGCAAATCACCTTGTGCAAGGTAGAAGAGGGTCGCATAGTTGCTTAGTAGCTACCGAATATATTTCCCTGTTATTGTCATGAATGCAAACTAATCCAATTCATTAAACACAAACTGGGTACTTGTTTACATGAAAAAACATTGACATGAATTCTTCTATTAAAAATGTATCACAGTTCCTATCAATGACAATAATTGATTAAAAATACACACAAGGGCAGAGACCCAAACGTTGTTGTTGGTTCCATATAAGGGGAATTAATCAAAATTTGCTTATCACTTATCAGAGGCTCTTATATCCAATTCAGGTAACTCTCTGAAGCAGACGAAATGGCATCACTATAGACCTGGGGGACCAAAACACGAGCGAAATATAAAGAACAACCCAGGTAAAGGTTAAAATTTAGGTTATTGCGTATGCGTATTCACACCTCCCTTAATGCCTTTCTATATTAATTTAGTTTCATCATTCTGAAAATTAAACTCGCAAATCATTTTTTCATTATCACATTTTGAAATCTAATTTCTGAAATTCGTATATTTTCAATATCGCGGAATTTAAATTCGGGAAGTGTAAAAACTTGACATAGTTGTGAAATTTAGTTTAGGAACTATCCAAAAGAAGAAAAGCATAGCCATACTTTCTCACCTTTGCTTTGAAGGAGGTTGCCTAACACAATGACAAATCAGGACCTTCAACGAACGAGGCTGACTCACCCTCCACCGTGCAAGGGGGAAAGAATCGTCTACGATCGCCCCCAGGACCAGCAGAATGGCCTCGACATTGGCATTGTAAACCAAAGTTCATAATTAAGCCTCTCTTTTCTTACTTTCTAAATCCTCAGCAAGAAAAATAGATAAAGAAGTGTTTTGCTAAATTTTTCCCAAAAAATTATTTATAAAAAATCCTCACCTATTTGAATCTCTGCATAAAGGCTGCTCAATAATCACATTTGGGGTCTCAAATTCTTTGTATATGTGTACACATCTGGTCCTCAACTACCATATTATACCTTTCAAATGAAAGTTCCGAATCATCTTTTTCGAAGCATTTAACCATTTATATTTCTAAAAAGTTTCAAATAAATTTTTTTTTAATTTTATTATTCTAAAGTTTTAAACATTCGGAGAATTTTTCAGACAAAAAAATTTGGTGAATGTATCATTTTTGTATAATAATTTAGTTGTTTTATTTTTTTTAGTAAATTAAAATATAGTTTAATAGTCTTTATTCCACTCCTAGTTCTCTCTTTTATTATTTTTGGAATATAAAAGAAATGTTTATCTATACCTACATTATTTATATCTATAATTTATAACTATAATGAACATATACTTATTTTTTGTGTATATAATTTTTTTTTCCAATTTTACTTTTATAATTATTTTTTAAATTACTTTACAAATTAACCATACTCTTCAATTTTATCCATCCTCTTTTAAATATCTTTTTTATTTTTTTTAATTGCACTGACGAAAACATCATGTCTCATTGACACTAGTATATACAAAGATGATTTGTGCTTATATATAAAGATGATATATATTTTGATAATTTATTTTTGTCTTCATTTTACTTTTAGGTGCTATTACTCCCAATTCATATAAACTCTCTAATTTTATTTATAACAAGGATATCTCCCTTTATTATATTTCATATAATGTTCACTTGGAGACATTTATTCCTTTATTATATTTCAAGTGTTTTCTCATCAATGCATATCTCACTGATAAAATAAGAAAAAATGTGTATAAAAAAATTAATTTTTCACTCTATCAATAATAATTATCTATTTAATAACTGCACTTATTTTATTCTCTATTAACAAAGGCATGAAGTATAAAATAAATAAATAAATAAATAAAAATAAAAATAAAAAAATAATAATAAAAAAATAAAAACCAAAAGAATAAAGACACGAAGTGTCTTTTTTCTTACTAATATTTCATAAATAAAATCACATAATTCACTCATTATTTATTTATCTTACTTTCTTTATAAATCAACCACTACAATTCTTTAATTACATGCAATTACTTTATATATATATATAAGATAAAGACAACTTAACTCTATAATTATATTTTTTATTTATTTTATTTTATTTTTAAATAATTAAACCTCTATACCTATATACAAATGCAATTTATAATTATATACAAAAAGACAATCCATGCTTTGATATCTTTGTTTCCTCTCTAACTTACATTTAGACACTTTTAGCCTCAATTTAAATAAATCTCTCTCTCATTATTATATTTCATAAATAAAAATCACACAATTCACTCATTCTTTATGTATGTTTTTCCTTTCTTATATAAAGTAACAACTACGACTCTTTAATTACACTTAATTACTGATATAGGAGAAGACAGAGACAATTTTATTTATAGAGAAAAGACACACACTAAAAGAAGGGTTGAATAGTGTGTGCCAAAAACTTACAAGTTTGTATAGTAGAAATAAAATGACTTATCAAACGTTCTGGGGCTTCTCCTATACCCCGCCTAATGGAGTGGAGGAAGATTAGGTGGGGAAGGTCATAGTGAAGTCAGCAAGCT